TTCGCAGCTACCACCGTGAAGTTGCCAGACGGCGAGTACGTGCCCTTCCTTTTCACTGTCAAGGAGTTGGTGGCCAAGGGCGAGGGCAGTTCCTTCAAGCCGGGCTTCACCTGGGGTGGCGAGTTCACTGTGCCCTCCTACCGAACCGGTGGTTTCCTTGACCCTAAGGGCCGAGGTATGTACCTCGGTTACGACCAGGCCGTGGCCCTGCCGGCCATGCAGTCGGATGGCCAGGGTGGCCAGGAGGAGCTCTTCAAGGAGCTTCCATTGCTAGACATTGCACATCTCCCGTGTTTGAAGACAATGTGTTCAGGACTCTGAAGTCAAGTAAGGTATTTGCACTTCTGGCTATCACGATTGAGCATGGATCTAAGCTTCAAACGCCACAGTAGAGACGTAGCAGCGTGAACAATTACCGGCATTGTTCCAGGATAATCCCCCACAAGGGCAGAATGTGCCCCGGAAACTCCACTTCAATGATTCAGGGCCTTACATTATAATCCAGGAAGCCCTTAGGCAAAGTCAGCTTCCACTTTATTTCCAATTTCTTTACCATGTGATTTTTTCGGGATAATATCCCTAAACCCTGAAACCTAATAGAAGTGGTTGTTGACTGCCCCTGGATGAGCTTGACTGGGACCCCGGGACGAACCGTGCCTGCTTCAGTGCAATGCGCATGCCTAAATATAAGCTTCCTATTTTTTTCCATTACCCCAATACCCCTGAACCCTGATTACAGATTTCCAGGCTTTTCCTTGTCCCTGAGTCCACACCAAATGGTTTGAGAAAGCTTGCATCTAAAGTTTTCCATACAGCCCCAAGAACCAGCGCCCTATGTAAAAGGCTGCGTTCCAAGAATTGGGGTGTCCCAACAAAGAGGTGGGAGGTGGCAGCAAAGTACTGTGGATGGAGGAAATCTTGCACCACCTTACATACCCTTTACCCCAATAATTACATTATTTTGGTGATCTCAAGTGGTGCGAGATTTCTTCCATCCACCGTAGTTTGGGCTTTTTTCCTGCTTTGCAGACGTTCTGCGTAGGATCACCAAAAAAAGGCAACAATGCACAGAGCCAACGTTCTTTCGGAATTCCGGTAGCAACCGGCACGGTCTGAGAAGTGTTCTGCTGATGGTCAGGCGCATCGTTGTTACGTCTCGTACCCTGTACCCATGGTGAAGACCTACGCAGCTTCTCCTTAAGCTCGGTTGCTGTTAAGGACTCCAAATTAAATGAGTATAACAAGGAAGCCGATTCTTTACAACATGCCCATATTATAAATGCTTAGATCTAAGTTCTTGAACGGCAACTGAGTATTTCAGACACCCACCAAAAACCCCAAGCCCCACACCCTGAACCATAGAACTCTAAACCCTAAATCCTAAGTAAACCCATTATGGTAGTTCCATTTCCTTTCCATCATCTCTATATAATCCCTCTATAACCCCTATACTAACTCTAAACCCTAAGCCCTTAAGCCTAAACCCTAAATCCTAAACCCTAGACCCTAAAACCCTAGAACCCTAAACCCCAAAACCCCAAAACCCTAAAACCCTACCAAACCTTTTGGCAAGGAGACCAACAAGGTCTTTGACATCGGTAAGGGCGTCATTGAGATGGAGGTGAACAAGGCGAGTTGTGAGGTTTGTGGCCGTTTGGTAGGGTTTAGGGTCTAGGGTTTCGGGTTTTCAGTTTAGGGTTTAGGGTTTAGGGTTTAGGGTATGAAGACCCTAACCTTAAAACAATAAGCCCCTAACCCTTCTGGGAAGGCTTGTTGCTTCTGGCAGCACTAGTAAGACTAATGCTCGTAGTAGTCATAATAGTAGTAACATTGACAGTCATAATAGTAGTAAGAGTAGTACTAGTAGTGTTATCATAATAGTCATAATCGTAGTGCAATTTCAAAACGGTACTGTCAATTGGACTGTTCGTCGAGGCCACTTGGAAGTGCATGGTACATTATGATATATTGGCGCATATTATGGTGCATTATGGTGTATTATGGCCAAACTTAGGGGTTCAGTGTTTGGGGTGTTTACAATCCAGGGGTGTGGGGTCAGTTTTTTTTTGGGGGTTTAAGGTTTGTTTCAGTGACTACTTGGACTTCGATGGGGCCACCTTAACCTTTTCGACCCCATTGACCAGACGTTGAAATGCTCTTCACTGGTAGTGGTCCGGACGTCCTCTTGCTGCCAGGTGTTGCGGCTGCTTGAAGGTAGGTGAATTACACTTTGTGTTGTGTCTCCTCCGCAGTGAAATGCGACCCTAAACCCTGAACACAGAACAGCATTTCAATGTCCTCCGAGTAGCTTCAACGCGCGCACACGCGCACATGGACGTGTAGTGCACTTGGATTCCGGATCCTAGAAGCTTTTGGATATAGTTTTGTGCGGGGCAGTTACCATGCCTGGGCCTTAGATACACCGCATGAGCTTTTAAAATAGTTCCCCTGAACCCAGCTTAGCTGTCATAAGACCTTTCTGTTAATTGGTTTCCCCTGAAACCCCTAATCCTAAACCCTGAAATTGCCCGTGACTCTGCAGGTGAACCAGGAGCTCGGAGAGATTGGCGGCGTCTTCGTGTCGAAGCAGCCCTCTGACACAGACATGGGCGCCAAAGCCCCCAGGACGTTTTCAGGTTTTGTAACTTGTTGGGACCAAGGCCCTACTGTTAACCGTAAAGCTCGTGCATGGCTTCATTATACTACCGTACTTCCTGAGGTATAGAGTACTTTCGGTCATGCAGCTCTCGTAGGGCTTAGAGTTTAGGGCATTGTAGTATCGTAGAACCCCTGAAAGCCATATGAGCTACAGCTTAAAACTCCTTAAAGGGGTTGGCTTTATAGGGAGTAGTATAGGGGGTTGGTAAGGGGGATGCTAGGAGTTTAGATTCTAGGTCATATAGTACTTGCCAAGTCCCCCTGACCCTCAAAGCAGGTTTTTCCCAAGCTTGTAGGAGCTGCCTGGATGATTGTTAGACATTGCTTTAAATCCTTATTCATGATTACTCTATCAAACACCAATACGGAAACCGCCCTAAACCCTATTCCTTGAACCCTAATCTCAAGTTATAGTGCTCTATACCTAAACCCCAAACCCTAGACCCAAAGAACTCAATAAGGAACCAACTCTGGGTTTCAGGTTTGGGGATTAGGGCTATGGAGGGCATAGAGTTTGGCTTCAGGTCTTGTGATAGAATTTAGTATACTGTATGTTATATAGTGTTAGAGCATAATGCCATGTAGTATTTCGTATGTTTTTGTTTCATACAGTGTATTGCCGTATATTATATAGTATATTACGTAGTATATTATAGCATTTCATTTAGCACATTTTAGTATGTTCATGTTTTATAGCCACTAGAATGAGCACAAGAGAGCAAAGAAACTCTTTGGTTGGAGTCAGGGTGCAGGAGTATGTACTGATGTGGGCTCTGATGAAATGGGAGTTTTCCAAATCCTAAACCCCCCAAAATCAGAAACCGTAGCACACCCTAAACTCTTACAATTAGGAAGGATTGCTAAAACCTCTGTATTGGATGGTGAACCACCCAACTTTGAGTTGGACCGTGCTGAAATCCTGGCAGCCTAAGTGTACTCGAGGGATCTTAAGGGGTGCCCTAAACCCTAAACCCTATAGATTCCTAAGGGTGGTACGGGTCATATAGTGTCCCGAGAGTATAAAGCCTACATAGGGCCCGTCAAAGTGGTGCAAGATTTCGCCCATCCGTAGAAGGGCCTGAAGTATACATCTTGGAGCACTATGGACCAATGTAGTTTTAAGGTTTAGGGTTTAAGGTTTAGGGTTTAGGGTTAAGGTTTCGAGTTTAGGGTTCCAAAGGTACAACCCTAGGGGGAACAGCCCTGAATAGAGTGTTATGTCTCCGGTTTGCGGTTTGGAGTTTACTTGCCTTCAGTCAAACAACCTTGAACTCCTGAAGCCTAGACCCTATATCTGGTTTGAGGTTTAACGTGGGTTTGCTTTCTGGCCTAAAAGCTCAGAGAATCCCTAATCCTGGACTTCAAATCATATGAGCATTTGTTAAACCCTTACCCCTACACCAAGGACCTCATATGAGCCATAGTCTAAACTCCTAGTTTCCCTTTTATAAGTATAATAGTCCTGTATATAATCCCTTATATAACACTTTTTCAGGGAGCTTAGACTGTAGCTCTTATGGGGCACATGATGGTCATAGGGTCCTCATTTTCGGGGATTGGGGTCGCCAAATAACTCTAACCTGATCCGCATATTGCTCAACCAGGACCATCTTGTTGAAGGGCATCTTCTATGGCAAGGTGGTGAACGCCTGAGCCCGCGCAGCATCTGTTTGGGGTCTAGGGTTTAGGGTCCAGAGCAGTGAGAGAATGACAGGGGCTCCGTATTGGATCTTACGTTGCGCCATAAACCCTCATTCCTAAGTTCTAAATCCAGCAGCTTAAGTTCTAAGGCCAAAACCTAAAGCTGAAATGCATGGCTGGATGCTAGTAGAAGAGCCCGCAGCTTGAATTCAATGGCAACCTTTTGAAAAGGGGCCTCTACTCTCACTACTAGGGTTACTTCATCTAAGTTCACCTTGTACTAGTCCGGGAGGGCTTGGGGTAGAAGAAGGATGGTTTTTAGGGTTTAGGAAATAGGATTTAGCATCAAGGCATGGGCCTCAGCAGGCCTGCAGCAAAAAGGGGTTAGCTCTTGTAGGATTGGAGGGCGGTTTGGGGTTTAAGTTTTAGGGTTTAGGGCTTAGGGCTTGCTGTTCAGCTTGCTGCATCCGCCCAGTGCTGACGCTCTGTAGGCGTCGGAGAAAGGAGCTTCTCTTTGCCCTCATGATTGGGGTTGTAAATTTTCCAGTCCCCGGAGAGGATGCATAGGGTTCCATGATTTGTTTCAAGGAACAGCAACGCTACTAACAAGAATAGTAATACTGATAATACGTAGCGGTATTCTAAGCACCAAGCCCTACACGGCGATGTGACTGTTGAAGCCCGAAACCTTGAACCCTAAACTGTGGACCGAAAATAGCAAGCTTAATCACTTGAGCTCGGGTTCAGGGTTTGGGGCTTAGGGTTGAGGGCTTAGGATTGAGGGCTTCGGGTGCAGGTTCGAGTTTTGGGCTGTAGGGCTTCGGGTAAGCTTCCGGCTCGCGCTCGAGTGTCTCCAAGTTATTCTGCAAAGTTACTATAATGGGGTTATATTGGGGTAATCTTGGGGTTATATTGGGGTTATATTGGGGTTATATTGGGGTTATATAGGGATAATGGAAAAGAAAATGGAAACTACTATTCCCTGTGCACTGTAATTAACGGGTTGCAATAGTACCCCCCCAAAACATACACCCCCAGGGTTTAAGGAGCTAATAAGGATTAGATAGGGCTTAACAGAGCCTAATAGGGTTCTAAGTCTGGGGTGGGGTACATTTGAGGGGGAGGACTATTGTAATCCCTTACAATGCGGTCTGGTGAATAGCTTAAACCCTAAACCCAAAACCCTAAACCGCATGGCTGTCCTGGCTTGAAGGTACACACAGAGTTGCCCCCCTTGACCAAATCCTGTAAGCCTTACTTGGGGTGTCAGAGGGGCTTGAGGTTCCAGGGACCCTTCAAAGGGGTTGGTTTAGGTTTTAGGGTCAGTGAAGGGGGTTTTGTAAAAAGATGAATATTGGGGACAGTTGGGGTCAATGTATGGTTTGTAGGCGTTATACGTGTACTTACTAGAGTCCCCGTATCAGCCTTACATACATAGCTCCTCCATACCTCTGAGCCTCCCACAAAATCTTTCCATCGCCGTGTGTACCAGTAACCGCCTGATAATAACTCCTAAACCCTAAACCCGAAACCCCGCGCCCGACACCAGCCAGTTTGTCTTTCTCTTGTTATAGTTGTCATAAGATGAATAGTTGTAAGATATTTAGCACTTGTTTTGCATGACTACCTCTAACTCTAATGATTTGAACCTGCACCCTAAACGCAGAAGCCTAAGGCCCAACCCTCAAATCCCTAATGCCCAGCCGTACCGTTAACTGCCAAAAGCAAACACCCTAGCACCCAAAACCCCTAAGCCCTAAACCCCATCCTTATAGTAGTCCCTACTCCAAATATATACCCCTATATAACCCTATATACTATAGTAGTTTCCATTTCTTTTCCATTATCCCTATAAAGCCACAATAAAGCCCCATGGAAGCATGAATGGCGCTGATGGGCCACCTGATGGTGGCAGCTACGCTGCCGCTCTACGGCATCGCCTGGCAAGCGTGCGGGCGGAGGTGGAGGTGGGCTGGTTGTGGGGTCACCTGGAAGGAGCTGAGGGGAGGAGCCGCCTTACAGGGTTTAGGATTCAGGTATATATGTTATGTGGACCCCCCACCCTGTAATGGTGGTATAAAAGGAATATAAGAGGACCCTAATAGAATCCTTACTATTCCTTATAGTCACTATTACTGGGTGGAGGGTCCACCTAGTGTTTTTGTATCTATGTATATACATATATATATATATATATGTGCACAGCATATATGTATATTCTAAGGAAGTTTCAGGTGGGCAGTTTCCCCACGCAAGCCTGACACCATCCGTGTATGGCTAATGGTCTCCGATACAAGTCATATATTACACACACATATATATATATATCTGTATATGTATATGTGCCTGATGTAAGGTTACCCATTTGATAACCCTCTACGTGAAAGTTTCGTGTGTGTGCATATTCAAAAATACCAATTCCCGGGGTTTGGGATTGCGGGTCTTCGTTGGGGTTCAGGGGTTTTTGAGGCAGGGTTTTATCGGGATTAAAGGTACCTTTTTGAAGGCCAATGAAGTCAAAGCCCACTTTGTAGCATTGTTTGGGGGTTTTGTTCCGGATTGTTTACTTTGTTCGTATGCAGGATTGTAGAGGGTAGTGGTCGAGGATCCAGAGTTTCCGTCATAAGAAAGGCCAGGGAACGAATACTAAGTTGTGATGTTTGATAAGCAAAATAGGACACTACGCCGATTCAAACACATACCTCATGGCACCAGAACAGAACCATGCTAACTTAGGAGGACCCCTCCACCCTGTAATAGTGCTCCAAGAGGACCGAATATAATCATTAGTATTATCCCTTATAGTCACTGTTACAGGGTGGGGGGTCCTTCTAGCTTACACACGAGCTTAACTGACATAATTGATCCATATGGTGGTTCAGGATTACTTGCATGATCATGATATAGGGTACCTTAAATGATAGAAGATGCTCTTAGGGAGGGTCCGGGTGTTTGGATAGTAGCGGGGCGGTAAGATTGTGGGGGTTTGATCCGGAGTATTGAATTCCCTAAGCCCTAAACCCAAAACCCTAAACCCTGAACCCGAAACCCTAAACCCTAAACCCAGGTCCCTGGAATCTCCTTCTTTTTTGTTGAAGTTGTGCTGCAGCTCAGGTAAAATCAGGCTTAACAGGGTTTAGGGTTTAGGGTTTAGGGCACAATATCCTTAAACACTCAACCCTAAACCCTTTCCTGATGGAGGCCTCGCTTTGTAATCCCTGCCGAATCCCAGCGTCCCTCAGTTTACCAAGCTTCGCCCCAAATCACACGGTTTAGGGTTTAGGGTTTAGGGTTTAGGGTAACCCTGAAACCCTGAACCCTAAACCCTGAAGCCTAAACTCTAACCACTAGAGCCTTTTTAGGAAAACTTAAGCCCTGAACTCCGAACCCTGAACCTTAAACTGTGTGTATGATATAGAATTTGGA